GCTTAACACAATCTACACACTATCGTTCACGGCACAAAGATGACAAGAGAGGCAATGATGTTTCGCGAGGAGAGCGAGGGAAACGGGCAGAAGGGATAGATGGAAGAGCAAGCCAAGCTTAGAAAGATCCTGAAATTCAAAGAAGACGAGGACGTCACAGTGTGCATTCCACGGACGAGGAGCACGAAATAAAATACGATGGACGAAGGCCAGATTGCAGAGGACTAGTCAAGAATCATTCTCTCTCGTCTTGCTCTTCCCCTCCCTTCGTTTGTCATGAATAGTCTAGTTCGTCCTTTCCTTGCGTTCGTATTCGATTGTCCTGTCTCTTCTTTCTCCCCGTTCCCTCTCCTGATCTTACCGCCTCTTTGTCCCTTTCTCTGTTTCCCATTGCGACTTATCTTCCCACTCCTTGCTTCTTGTTCTCTTTCCAGACGAACCTTTCCCTGCCAAACTGTTATTTCTCACCTCCTTTCACTTCCTTTTCCATGGCGCTCCCTGAAGTTAACTCGCTCCTTTCTTGAGTCGCCTGTCCTCACTCCTTCCTACATGCTTTGTTCCTACCTCTCGTTGTCGCTTTCTTGTCGTTGTTGCCTGTACGATGATTGCTTCAGCGATGGTTCCCTCGCCACACTCGGAGACGTGGCGCCCTCGTTTGCTTTCCCATTAGTATTCGAAACCTTGGTTGGCACTTCGAAAGTTACTGTGGTTGACGCGGTGACACCCGGCACGGGGTTTGCCCCAGGGAGCGCCGGGGATTTTCGGGCGGCGTAGAGCGAGCCGTAGCGCTGACAGGAGGCGCTACAGCATAAAAAATCCTTGCAAAAAGCTATTTTCGATCTTGTAAACCCCTTTCTTAATTGTGTTCACGTTTGCTTTCTTTGGTTTACCCCTTTCATTTGTTCTTGCAGCTCCCCCATTACCGTGCCTCTTATGTACAAGGCTCGCCACATTGATTGTGGTTGAGCGCGAGCTGCTCGCATCCCCATGTGCCATAACGGCCCACTTACACACTGAAAGGAGGCAGAGCAAAGGCGGAGGTATACTCCTGTTCATTGTTCGTGTGTGTGTGTGTGTGTGTGTGTGTGTGTGTGTGTGAGAGAGAGAGAGAGAGAGAGAGAGAGAGAGAGAGAGAGAGAGGCAGACAAGCAGACACACATACAGACAGGGAGACACAGAGAGAGAGAGAGAGAGAGGATGGACTGGTTCTAAGGGCTGATATGACCTTGGTTGTGTGAATCCCACTCCATCGAAAGACGTGCAGGAAGGCGAGGACCTTGCTAGAGACTTCACGACTCTTGTGGATGACTCCTTGTTCAAGTTCGACACGAACTTGATTCCTGAAGCTATTGCACTCTATGAGAAGCTAGGAGTGAAGCATGCCCCATTGACACTGATTGCTCCTCAGGTAAGAAAGACTTGGCAATAACAGCCAAAATTATCACTGTCAGATTACCACCCGTTATCTTTAGCTTTTTGTTCTCTCTACAGCACTTGTGACCCGTCCTCTCTCATACAAGCTTCCTTTCATGCCTCCTTGTAAGGGTGTTCGAACTTTGACAGGCTGTCTGTTCGCTCGTCTTTTTGTCAATTTGTTAAAGGAAAAAGGAAAGATCCTTCTATTAGGGGAGCATCGCCCCAGTTTCTTTACGCCACCATGCCATAAGGGTACAGCAGAACAAAAAAAAAAAAAAAGAACGTACAGCTTCACACTCAATCATGCATGGCATCCATGTGCAAAGGACCATGGCACTCTGCAAGATATTCTTCCGACTCCTTACGATGTGTCCCAAACGACTCAAGACTGAGCAACAGGAGGAATAGTGAAACCAAAATGAAACTGCAAGAGTCCAACTTCATAACTAGATCCACGCCCGGGCATGCTTGATCAACTGCATAACTAACTTTGTCATAAAATTTCGCAATGGGCTTGGGTGCATTGACAGGAAGCATGCTTGTTTGACTGTAACTCGTTCTTGCTCCGCTGCGGAATGTGCTAAAGAAAAACAAAAAAACCAGAATGTGATGAATCAGCTGAAGGCAATGACAATGAGAATCTAGGGCAACGGCAATCTTTCTTTCTTTTCTTTTAATTTTTCCTTTGTGAGGAATGTGCCCTGACGGGGCCCTAGCCAACATGCACATGATATGGGCTGTGGCCCCCAGCAAGCATCGTGCCCACCCTAAGTGAAGGCGGGCCTGAATATCCACGAGAGGCCCTTATCTCAGCATTTTCCAATGTGGGCGTCAGACAGTTGCAGCACGCCAGTTGGCTGAAGTGCAACGTGAGCCTCTCCCTGGGCTTCTTCCAGAAACAGCAGCTGTGTCGAGCAGTTGAGCGCAGGTTCGGGTGGTTGCGCCCTGGGCACACGCAGTGTGAGGCCAACACATCACGAAGTGGCCGTGGGCGAATCAGAATGCGGCATTGTTGTCACAGAGGTCCAGTGAGCCAATGAGAAGACGGCAAACACTAGGAGCCTGGAGGCTGCCTGGACGTGCCCAACCAGAAAGGGCCCAGGCCCCGAACTGTCGGACAGGGCTTGGACGCAGACACTGGGGCCCAACCGGAAGCTACTGGGAGCTTCCTCAGCCATGCCCACGCAGCCAAACAAAGGCCGCGACTTCCATATAGGAAAGATCGCAGGCCATAGGCTGGGGCCCAACCGGAAGCTACTGGGAGCTTCCTCAGCCATGCCCACGCAGCCAAACAAAGTCCGCGACTTCCATATAGGAAAGATCGCAGGCCATAGGCTCGCATTCTGGCCTAGGAAGGCAATGTGGACGCGCTGCTGCGTTGCTGCACAAGTGTCTGCATGGGCGCAGCTGGCTGGGGCGCACGCTGGCGCTATGAGGTGAGAGGTGTGCTGCAGGGCAGTGGGCGCATGGCAGCCATAGCTGGGCTGCAGGGGCGCATGCGGGTGATGGGCGAGGGTGGTCTTCAAGTAGGAGGCGCATGAGTGGGTGGTCAAGGTCTGATGAGGGGAGGACAGAGAATGTACCTGGTGTAGGTCGGCATTGGTGTTGACGTCATGTACATTGGTCCTCAACATCGAAAGCGATCCTGTTGCACGAATGTAGGTAGGCAAGATAGGCTCAGTAGAGTAGGCTGGGCGCTGGGCGCCAGACAGAGATGAGCAACATTGGATATTGTGTGGGTGGGGCCTGAGGGCGATAATATTGACACATGATTTCACTGCTCTGCTTTTATTTGGATGGAATCTTGGTGCACTTGAGCTCTCTGCTTGGTACATGACTATCTGGACTTCTGCGTGATTTTGCAACTTCTATTTCTGTCGATCGCTCTCGCTCATATTCCTTGCAATTTGGTATCGGGCGCTGGCGACATTGTTACGTGGTGCACTGACGATGCTTCCACGCAGTAAGGATACAGTGGTGCTGGCATAAACAGCCATTCGTGGGTACAGGCGAGTTGGCCAGAAAGCTGTGCCGGCAGCGGATGTATGTGTGATGATGAGAGCATGCTGATGTGGCATTTTGGCTGAGGTGGAACTGCATTGCGTTGTGGGTGGTACGAAGGCTACGACCGGTCATCGAAATGCATGTTGGCGCAATTGGTGAGAAATCAGTGGTTGGGGGCAGCAGCTGTCTTCAGGTACATTGTTCCCTTACCTTATCTTCCCTCTCAATCTCTTCTTACCCTGAGGAAGTGACTCCAACTTGACTGTCCTCTTTTGGTTAGGGGGGTCGAGAGCCGACATTCTCCTTGGTGGCGCATCTGGCATGAGAGGGCGGTGCCTCTGAAGGGCCTTCGTCGAAGCACCGGTCACGGTCACCATGCCAACCCATGGGAGTAGTACACAGGCCATGGTGCTTCGTCCTTTGAGCTCTTTGCCGCCCCAATAGAGGGAACATGGAGGATGAGTCCTATGCACTATGCATACCCCATTCATATTTTGTTTTGGCAGGGATCTGTTCTAAATACTGGCTGTGATCGTTGTCCTATCTGCGACGTTAAATAATTCCTGAGGACCTTGGGGGATGTCCTTAAACTGCCTCTTGATCAGCCAGATCAGTCAGATGTAAGGCTCGTCGCACGTGAGGATAAACAAGGGGCAGTGCTGGTCATAAGTGAGTTCCTGGGCACAGAGGTGGGCCATTAATACACACCTTAGACAACGCTGCTTAATGATGTGGATAGGCACGTTGGATACATGTGAAGGAAGGTTCCAATTGGTGCTCCACTCTACTATCACAATTATTTCCAATGCGCATACATCTATGCACATGGTTTTTTTTTATTTTTATTAGTTGGTGGACAGACTGCTAACACCTAACAGACAACCTAGATTAGAATTGTAGTGTTCTACCATTGCCAGTTGTGTTCCATGCTGCTGTTAGTGAAACTAGATCATGTGCTTATTTTGTGTATGTGTTATTGATACCGCTTGAACAGTAGCCTAGGTGACTTGCCGGATATTAATATATATAACTCCGACGAAACAGTTTGTCACAGCCCCTCGTTTGTTGTCCTCTTCTCTCTCTCTGCCTACGGTTTACCGGGCAGTTCTATTTGTGACGATATATATATATACACAAAATAAGCACATGATATAGTTTACCGGGCAGTTCTGTTTGTGACGATATATATATATATATATCATGTGACAATATATATATATTTCAACCCGGTCAGACACATGTTGTGGTAGGCCCCGCTGAGGGCACAAGTGCAGACAACGTCTGCCTAGCTGATGAGTGGACTAGTTAGTGGTGAGGATAGATCTGTAGGAAGGAGGGTGACACGTCAGGAGCCCCGTAGGATTGCAATCGTGCACCGAGCTTTACCACCTAAGGGAGAGAGGGCTATACGATGGGAAGTAGAAGCTGAACGTTTGCAGTGTGGTGGACCCACCAGGTGTGGTGCTCCGCCCGGGATAGAGATGGAGGATGAGAGTGGAGGAAGATGGCACCGCGCAGCTCCCACGCGAGACTCCAATGCACGTACTCCAAACTGTGTGAGGAATGGTGTGAAAAACAGACAACAATTGGGGTACCCTAGCGGACTGACTGGACTGGATTGGATTGGCTGGTACCGACAGAGGTACTGGCCTGGCCTGGACTACCCCAAATACAACACAGGCTTGTGAGAACAGGCCAAGGGGCTGGTCTCACAGGCCAACTACCGCTACACGATCCTCGGCCTGTGATGGATCGCCTAGATACAAGCACGCTTCCGCCAAGAAGCGGAACTCTACCTAAGAAAAAGAAAACCCGAGTAGTCTAGGATGCGGAGCAAGCTCCATGTTAAGTCCATGCGATGCAACCAAGGACAGAAAATGTCACAAAAGCAGCAATGTCACAGCTAATAGCCTAAGTGAAAGCAACTAACTAGTATACATGTCCTAGGAAAGCAAAAAGTAGTGACAACTAAAACCGGAACTATTAGAGGCAATAGCCTCAGTCTGAAAACAACTGACTAGTATATAAGTCCTAAGAACAGCAAAAGCAGAAACAACTAAATCCTAGAAATGTTAGAGGCAGTAGCCTCGGTCTGAGAGCAACAAAGCAACAACAAGACAACCATATGTCACAGGAGAAGTGTGTTGCAAACAAGGGTGGGATGGTCTCTGAGGGTGGCGAATGCAGCCTAGGGGTTGATAAGCTCCTAAGGGCATCTACACATAATGACAGGGAGACACATGTTATCAAGCTCAATGAGGGTAGGGAACTGGGAGTGAACAGAACCAATGACCCTACCAGATAGACCATAAGGGCGGGTAATGCTCGACTAAAGGGCTGACCGCTATGGAGTGTCGACCATGCAAGGGAATAAGGGAGTCTGGTATATTGGGCGCATCTAGATGAAGCACGCAAGGCTGCCTAACTAGGGAGTGAGGGCCAGCAGGGGGTAGAAAAAGTGATGGGTAAGGAAATCATGCAAATGACTCCTAAGGTGGGGGAAGTCGGAGCTAGATCCGTAAGCTGGGAAGCCAGGGGAACGCTACGGTCCCGATGCCTATGTGTATACCAAGTAGTGTTGTCACGCGGGGATTCCCGGGGCCCAAGCCGGGGTAGGGGTTTCACCTCCGGACCCCGGCCGCGGGGCTACCCGACCCCCGCCCCTGCCCCAACCCCGCCATCCCCGCTCCC